TCAAATATTATTAATACATAGCCAGAGACGAAAGTGTGTTATTGTAAACTGTTTACGACACTAACATATACAAAATTAAACTCTAAAAAAAAATTAATTCAAGAATAGTAGCATAATTTTGTTCCGTTGTTTTTACTCTTAGCTACTTTTTCATTCTGACATAATGCACACGTATGTAAAAGTGATTGATATCTGTTGCATCCAATATAATGATTATAATATATCAATAATTGTGCAAGTTGCTATTACAAAGAATAGAGTGACACGCTTTAGTGAAGCTAGAACGTGATGCAGAATGAGGTATCTAAACATAACGTCACAGTAAGGCATGTCACAGTAGGGTATCATCCAACTGAGATGATATTGTCATTAAAAATGTTGACAAATTTTCTTTTTTAAAAAAGTGTATATAGGATAAAGTAAAATTTTAAAAAAGTGATTAAGGAAATATTATTGGTGGGTATATATACTTGTATAATAATGTGATAAGCCTACTGAATCAAAGAACTATTTTGTTAAAAATAAAAAACCAAGTAAAACTGACAGGCAGAAATGACAACGTTATGTTCCTCTTATGAATAGTCATAGAGTCTACACATTAGGGGAGGGGTGAAATAGAAGATCTTGTACACATTAGGGTAGGGATGGAATAGAAGATCTTGTACACATTAGGGGAGGGATGGAATAGAAGATCTTGTACACATTAGGGGAGGAGTGGAATAGAAGATATTGAACACAATAGGGGAGGGATGGAATAGAAGATCTTGTAGACATTAGGGGAGGGATGGAATAGAAGATCTTGTACACATTAGGGGAGGGATGGAATAGAAGATATTGTTCACATTAGGGGAGGGATGGAATAGAAGATCTTGTATACATTAGGGGATGGATGGAATAGAAGATCTTGGGTCTTGACTAGATCGTTTAGAAAGCGACCAATGAAGTGATCGCCTTGATTAGATCCTGTAAGTGGACAAGAGCTTGGGATATGAACCAGGTCTACGTGTTGGGACTTGATATCCTCACAAACAGAGCTCTTTTCTCTCCTTGTCCCTTTACTAGACCCATGCACCAGACAGAGAAACATTATTTTTTTTTCTCTTATCACTGCCCACTGGCTTTAGCCTCGTTGTGATGTTGACTATTCTAGTCAACTGTATCGTCGCCGAGTAAGTAACGGGTGCAAGCTGGATTTTTTTTTTTAACTTTTTTTTTTTAACTTCTTGAGTAAATCCAATAATCGGTGTCGTCATAGCAACTGGGGCCGTCATAACACAAGGGGCATTTTGTTGCAGTTGTCTGATCCTTCTCACAGATTCTTTTATAAAAAAAGAGAGAGAGAGAGAGAACTCAAAATAAATGATTATTGATTTGAGCAGACGGAATGTATCAACTGCTATGCCAAAAGGCCAATAATGTCATGCCAACCCTGTGATGTTTTTATCCTATAGGTGTTTCTTCAATTCCATGCCTTTTCTTCTACCAATTATCGCACATTTTCTTGATTGGTTTTTATATTGACATTTTTCCTAAGCCATCACTTTTGGTTGCCTCTTAAATTGGTGTCTAACTACTTTTATCCTTAATTTGTTTGTGCAATTTCCGTTTATTTGTGTATTTTATTTATTGAATATATCATTAACAACCATGTTTTATAAGCATTTAGACCCATTTGTTCGATTTGTGTTCAAAAACACTGTCAGTAAGCAGAGGATTTTTTTTTAATTCGGTGCTTTTAGTTTAACTCTATTCAGACATTAAATTACATTTTTTAATTTGAATCTATTGAAACACACAGCTAACTTGACACACACAGCTAACTTGAGACAAACGGCTAACTTGAGAAACATGGCTAATTAGAGACAGACGGCTAACTTCAGACATTCAGTTAACTTGAGACACACGGCTAACTTGAGACTCGCAGCTAACTTGAGACACATATTTAACTTGAGATACACAGCTAACTTGAAACACGCAGCTTACTTGAGACACACAGCTAACTTGAGACACATATTTAATTGGAGATACACAGCTATAGGATACTTTTTAGATCCTTTTTTTAGCAAGTTGTTTGTTTACTAAAATAAGCGTGGTCGAGAGGCTAAGTGCGCTTGAACTTGGCTTGTCTTGGCTACCTAGAAGGGGGCTCGAGGTTCGACACCCGACTCGGACAGAGTTGGGTTTACTGAGCGCCTAAAGGCAGCACGGAAAACCAACTCCTAGATACCCCCTCCTCCCCCACCAGTCCACAAGTTAGATTGGACCAAAAGCGCTCTGAGCATGCTATAAGCATGAAAGTAGCGCTATATAAAAGCTATAATAATAATAATAATAACTTTCTTTATTTTTGCCAACTATTAGTAAACACAAAAACATGTGTCGCGAACAATTGTTTCTATGTGTTTAAGTATATTTTTATGACTTCTCTGTGTTACAATACCCCACAATGAAATATTTTCTTCAATTCTTACACATTTGATTTGGTTTATATTGACTTATAAATCTGTAATTCTACTAAATAAGAGCTCCATTGTAACTAGGTATTGCTTGTTGCATTTTTAAATAGATAATTTTGATTTATATAAGTGTACCTAAAATATGCATCAAACTCTACATTTTTTTTTCTTTTGATACTATGTTGTCGTTGTTTGTACATTAATTCTCACAACAGGTAGATCTAGACCTAGATTTAGATCTACGGACTTGTATGAACGTGTCAAATGATACTTTGTACATGCCTTGAGTTTCCTTAACAGAACAACATTTGTTAGTTTGAGGTCAGCATCATCACCAACTGTGTCTTGATGTGAGAATACGGAATACGTGGAGTAAGTAGAGGTTACTTTCTCCTGGTTTGACCTCACTGAAGCTTGTTTGTTTTCATGTTTCAGACGCCGTCGTCCCATTAACTGACATAATAAAATACTCTGAAAGACACAAAGATAAAGGCACATTCCTCGTACCATATGCTAGGACACATTTGTACAAATACTCATTCTTCCCTAGTGTTATTAGAACATGGAATGGGTTGCCTGAGCTAGCCAGGAAAACCAGTGACTTGGCAGAATTTAAGTCATTGGTTAAGATGCATGACTAACTGCATGACGCGTAGGACGTAATCATCTTCTTTTTTGAAGTAACGTCTGTATTATATAAGATAAGATAAGATATCCGGCTCTTGTGAACAAAAAAGTAAATTAGTGTTGAGACTTTTTTGTTTTAAAAGCAAAAAGATTAAACTCTGCGCTCTTATTAATTATTTAAAAAAAGACAAGAAAAAAAAAACATTTAAGAATTTGTTTTTTTAATTCCATTTTTAAAGTATAAACACGCGAGTCAACAAAGTGCCGTGCACAAAATGTAGACAAACTATAACATTTAGTTCGAAAATAAGTATACTTTTAAACTCGCTTGAAAGCTAGTTGAAAAGCATAAGCTTATATTTATTTATTCTAATATGCGGTTAATAAACTAAAGACATCTTGTCTGCTAAACACTTAATCAGATGTAAGGCACTATAGTGTTTTTATTATGACTTAAGGCTGTGCAATATTAACATATTGATACGAATTCTGACTAATTAAATACATAGATAAATATTGTATAGTTTATAATGTCTGACGTGCAACCATATGTCTCAACTGTATCAGATCGGATGAAGCCTACAGGGGCGGCGATGCGTAAAGTGGCCGACCATGATCACCAGTTTCTGAGTGTGCCACCTACATAGTGATTTGTTTCCAATCAAATAGTCTTTCCCACTACTTTCAGTAGCACGTTGAGTTCCCCACCCCACCCCACCACCTTCAGTAGCACGCTCTGTATTTGTTGAATGTCACTAGAACTACCACGTGGTGGATGGCAATATTGTGTCATGTGACTTTTGTATATCATCTGACTTGTGTGTGTATCCCTTTTGTTTAGTCTTCCCAACTCTGTCCTAGACACCTTTTTGGAATGACGCTATGTTGTAGTTGTATGAGCAAGGATGTACAACAACACTCTTCCACCATTACACACCCATTGAAAACTTCAGCCTTGTTTAGTTTGCAGACATAATTTTTTTATATATTCTGAACAGCGTATTAGTTCAATACATCCTTGCGTAGCAACTAGTCTGTGTTCTCTTGTTCTTGACTAGACTTGACACTTTGCTTGCTTGCAGCCTCTACAACCTTTTCTGGTGGATTATGTTAAACTTTTTTTTTGTAAACTATGACTTATAGATCAACTAGTTACAATATTTCATCAATGCCTTGAATATAAATCTTTTTTTTTTTAATATGGGAGAAATTACTTTTTATTCTAGAAAAAGATATTTTTTATTTTTTTTTGTTAAAAACTGTTTTATTGCTAACTTTAGAACGATTTTATTTAGCTTTACTTTGAACGCTAATTTATCTTTACTTTCAACATTAATTTAGCTTTACTTTCAACATTAATTTAGCTTTAATTTCAACCTTAATTTATCCTTAATTTCAACATTAATTTAGCTTTACTTTCACCGTTAAGTTAGCTCCACTTTCAACATTAATTTAACTTTACTTTCAACCTAAAATAAAGGCACATTCCTCGTTCCATATGCTAGGACGAATTTGTACAAATACTCCTTCTTCCCTAGTGCTATTAGAGCATGGAATGGGTTGCCTGAGCTAGCTAGAAAAACCAGAGACTTGGCAGAATTTAAGTCATTGGTTAATATGCATGACTAAATGCATGACGCGTAGGACGTAATCATCTTCTTTTTTTTAAAGTAACGTCTGTATTATATAAGATAAAGATAGCTTTATTTCAACATTAATTTTACTTTACTTTCAGCCTAAATTTATTCTTAATTTCAAGGTTAATTTAGCTTTACTTTCACTTTCAACATTAATTTAACTTTACTTTCAACCTTAATTTATCCTTTATTTCAACATTTAGCTTTAGCTTTCAACGTTATACACGTAAATAAAAAAAATGTTTATTATATAGTTCATGCTTACTTATAAAATAAATCTGGCTTCCTGTAACAATTGTGAGTTAATCGCTTCTTTGAAATTAAGAATAGGATTAAAAAAAAATAGGATAATAAAAATTCTTTATTACATGAGATTGTATAATTGTTTCCGAGGAAACAGCATTTCGTGTTTTTATATGGATGAAATCTTTTCATCTTCAATACTTTTTACCCACAACAAATTCTAAAGCAAAAGGAGGCGTTTTTTAAAGAAAAAAAAAGTATATTGCATAAGGAAATGTATCATAACTTATTTTAGGATAATTTGTTGAGATAAACTTTTTACAACTTTCTAATTACATATATATTTAGTCTTTCCTCTCCCATACCAATATATATATATTAAAACTTAGTATTGGTATAAAATAGTATATTTTATTATTGTTTTTACTATAGTTTGTCACATAGTTAATTGGATTTACATTTAGAAAAAAAAGCCTTGTATGTCGTGTGTTCTAACGTAGACTTGACTTGATTTGTGTGTCATCAAAATAGGCAGTGATAAAGCTGAATGGAAATTTTGGACAATATCATTGCTTTCTGTTTAGGCCCCTATTTGTGTATGTTTTCTTTGGTTAAACATTTTTCCAAACAATTACGCGCTGAATCTTGACATATTTATTATCCTCACTTAGTATAGACGTCAGAAATTTTATTTGCTATAAAAATACGTTGTAATGTTTCATCTACCAACCGTATATTTAAAAAAAAATATTTAAAGTTCGGAGGTACTGTGATTTCTCCCATCGAAGACCAGAAGTGATATTGTTTTGATAATTGCAGATTTATATCTGGGTAGGGTGAGGTATCTTGCATTAAATGATACTATAAAAATGTATAACCATTTTTTTCGCTACATAAAATAGGTCTACCTTATTCGGAATATTTTTCTAAAATAAAATTACGTCAGCGTTTTAAAGTACTTGCATACTAAATCTTACAATTATTCATAAATTTTGTTGTTGAACCCTAGAGGCCAAACTTTGCTTTCAAATTAATACAGTGTAAAAGAGAAGTGAAGAATTATTTAGACCAACACTGAAATAACATCAAAATAAGAAATAATGCAACTCGTTTGTGTATGCCAGTGCAAATTTCTGGTTATGTCTCTGTAAGATTTTTCGCAACTTATTCGGAGACCAAGTCAACAGACAGTGGGTTTCAGGGCAAACTAGATCTACAATATGAGTCATTTCCATTTTTATGTATGCAGTTTTTCTTTTTCAATTGAATTCATTAACAAATTTTCACTTTTGTTTTTCAATGGTTTCTTAAAAAAAAACGTTTGTTTTAATGTTGCATGATATATATGTATGGTGTTTTGTTTTTTTTTCATAAAGGTTCTATGCATGATATAAGTGTGGGAAAAAACTATGCTTTAAGGACATTTCAAAACATACAATTTTACATGCAAGCTCTTGATTCATCTAGATGATAATAATAATAATAATAATAATAATAACAACACTTTCATTTTTATTAACTCTTTCTCTCCTAATTGACGATACCATCGTTGATTTGACCTCATTTAATTAAATTAATGTTCAATTTTATAAACGTTACTTTGTGCTCTATACTAACTAAAACTAACATAGAAATAAGAAATAATGCAACTCAATTATCCGGATTAATTGGAAAAGGGGTCTATCCAGATAATCTATCGTCCGGATAACTTTATGCGGAATATTATAAACGGTGCTTTCCATCAACACTATAAAGAAAACTCCTATGAGGGTTATACAGGGGAACAAAATATTATAGGTAGTAGCCTCCCATTATTGAAAGAAATAATCGCTGCACGTCAGCAAGACCACTTGCATACCGTACTGTAAAACATCAACAAAAGACAGTCCGGATATTTGACATCCGGATAATGACATTCCACAGTACCGGTACTAGCAAAAATGAAGGCACGATGATTCTTTTTCTTTTAATTGAAGACCAGTACGTGTAGTGATTAAGGGAATTAGATCAAGAGCGAGAACTCGTAACTTTATATAGCCAATTTAATGCCCAATGCAGGAGCTCATGTTTAATTTGCATAAATTCAAATTGATTCAGAAGTAGTCAAAGCTACATCTAAACTTTAAAGCTTCTATACTATTTGTTATTATCAAATCTAGAAATCTAATTAGTTTTTAATTAAACTCTTGTTAAACATGGTGGGAAACGTGGTCGAGAGGCCAAATGCGCTTGGCTACCTAGAACTGGGCTTGAGGTTCGACACCCGACTCGGGCAGAGTAATGTATACTGAGCGCAAATGAAATGGACCAAAAGCTCTGACCGCTATATAAAAGCTAAAATAATAAAGTTTAATTAGCTTAATCATTATCTCTTCAAATTGAGTAAGAAATAGTTGAAGCTGCATCTAATTCCGTAAGTGTTTATATGTATACCTATAGTAACCTAGACATAAACATTTTATTTGTAAATAAGTTTTAAAACAATATAAAAGTCTATATTAAAAAATTGTTAAACGCAATACCTCCCATGGAAGACTCCAAATGCACTACATACGAATCATTCCATCATATAAGTATCTCCATAATACATTGCAACTTCAAAGAAAGAAAAAAAAAACTAATGTTAATATAGTACAAATATTTAAAATGATTTATTGAAGAAGAGCAGGATTATAGAATAGGATTGTAGATAACACAGCTATACAATCTATTGCAGGCACATCTTCCTTGGCATTTATACAGTGGAGGCCTGCATAAAAATGTTATCTAGAGGCTTTATCCATGGAACTGGCTAGATTTTTTGGTTATTTCCATAGCGTAAGTTCTGTGTGTTTTTTCGTGTTCATTTCTGTAAAGTATCTGAATTTGGTGGGTAGCTCAAGCTTAGGTGAACTTCAATTCATGCTTCAAAGTAATAAAACAAATTTAGCGCTGCTGTGCGTTCGATTCTATTGCCTTTAGTATCACCACCTAGCGACGCCACTGAAGTAACCATACCTTAAAAGCACTAAAAAAATGATGCAAGTGTATCGAGATTTCCTAGGGTACTGGACATGATGGGAAAAAAATGTTTTGCAGAAGCTGTAGATGAAAACACAAATCATAAGCTATGCATAGATTCCAGTGTAAATAAATATAATTGTTATTGCCAATTGTTATATGTTTAGTTTTATTGCATTCTTTGTCAAGTTCTATATACTTTGAAATGTTTCTGACAGTTACATGACGATGGCCGCAAAGCAGCTTGGGAACCTGTCAGCCCTGAGAACATTTCGTGTATTGAGAGCCCTTAAAACTATCTCTGTCATCCCAGGTTAGCATTCACAATGTTTAGAAGAGTCCATCTTCTGTTTGAGATCCGTCAACAACCCCCCCCTCCAAAAAAAAAAAAATATATATAATTAAAAGAAATAAAAAAATTAAAGATACTAAAAAAGGCAACAAAAAGGTTTTTTTGTTTTTTTTTTTGAACAAATGAACTATAGAGTAACACAAAGATAAAAACTCTTTCTTATCAAATATCATTTAATAGAGCATGAAACGGTTGCCGGACTCCGCCAGAAAAAAAAAAGCAATGGCTAAATTCGAAAAATTTAAATAGTCATTAATAATTCTATGAGACATAGATGTGTATATTAAAATTCGAGGGACTCTTTTTTTTTCGGTTGAGATATTTTAGTTTGAAATAGAACGAAACACAATGCTGTAATTGAGCCTAATGATTCATCAAACAGTTGACAGGCTCGCGCTCTTTCTCTGACAGGTCTGAAGACTATAGTCGGTGCCTTGTTAGAGGCTGTCAGACGTCTGCGTGATGTGATGATCCTGACAATATTTGTCCTATCCATCTTTGCCCTGGTCGGCATGCAGTTGTACTCGAGCTCACTGCGACAGAAGTGTGTTCAGAATCCTTTTGCAGTTTTTGAGGAGAGCGTCACGCACGAGCAATATTTCGAGTTCACCAATGATACAAGTTAGTATTCTCGAACACTAGTTGACAATTTTGTTTAAAGCAAAACAATTTGAATCAAAGATTTTTATCTAAAATGTTAAGCGAATGTACATTTTTTTTTCTCGAGACAATTGGCCAAATGGCGGCTTAGAAACATAGAGTTTGTGGGAATAACAGTGGTGCAGGATAAGGATATATAGATTTACATGTGTCACTGGGGGAGAGGATCGGTAGGGGCAATCGCCCCTCACCCCACTCGTCCAACACCTCCTTCCTGCGGTCGAATAAGAACAATAGCAAACCAAGTTGCATAATAATCGAACTGTCAATAAGTGGGTCAATGATCATTAAAAAAAAGAAAACACTATTTAATACTAAATACAACTACTTAGTATTCAGAGTATGTACAAATTATGTGATAAGTTAATGCAGCATTAATTGTACAATTGAACACACCTCACGCACGCAGACTCAGTTCCGGCCACACGGCCCGGTGGCTCCAAATAGTGCAACATGGAGATGTAAAGACTCAAACTAATCACGTGACCAGTCACGGCTTCTAGGGCGATCTCAAAACCGAACACTTCATCGAAGCCCCAAGCTAACACCCAGAAACATAGAATACTTGGAGATCTAGCGATGCTGCTAAATCACAGAACATTCATTAACGACCCCAGTACCGAAAAAAATAATACATTTTCTGTTGTACGTGCCGTTGTAGCGCAGACAGAATCTATAGACTGAACACCCTCTCAGCCTAGCCCTAGAGAACAATACAGGAACTAAGCGTGACGTAAAACACACACACAATATTATTGACAACAAAGCACGCCTAACCCTAACCCTAACCCTAACCAATTCTTAAACCTAAGAGCACGACTTCTAGAAGAGAAAAAAAACTTCACGCGCACGCGATAGGCGGTTCCATTTTTTTTTTAGAAATAACAGTTTGTTAACATAATTAGTTACATATCTATACGATATAAGCTACTTATTGATATTTTATCATATCTTTATATCACGCAACCAGGCCCTATCTGTTATGTTGATGATTTTGGTTCCCGGTCATTTCATCCCCGGTCACTTTATCCCCGGTTATTTCATCCCCGGTCACTTTATCCCCGCCACTTCAACCCCTGGTCATTTCATCCCCTGGTCATTTCATCCCCTGGTCATTTCATCCCCCGGTCATTTCATTCGCCGGTCATTTCATCATCTGATCATTTTATCTAACAAATAGTAATTGTACAAATCGTGAAATGAGCAGTATTTAATACATTCATTTTTTATTT